GGACTACAGCCCACTTCTTGCTGTAGTCCACGAAAGCTTATGCTCTAATAAATTTGTTAGTCTCTAAGGTGCCACAAGTCCTCCTGTTCTTCTTTTTGCGGATACAGACTAACACGGCTGCTACTCTGAAACCTTTCATTATCTAGGGTCTACGGGACTTCGCCTTACTGGGATAATTAAAGGGCACGTGGCTCTCGAGGTGGCTCTTGCTGCTGGACGTCTCCCTCTGGCTCTTGGGTGGCGGCTGATAGTCCGAGTGCTGCGTCGTGCTGAAGAAACAGGCGTTTAAATGTTTGTCACCCAGGGGCACTTTGCTTTGTTGTCTCCACGGTGGCACGTCTGGCTGAGGTGCACGTTCCCCCAGGTCAATCTGGAGTAAACAAGAGCAGAAGTTAACGGGCAGGTGCTGTAGCCAAATGCTCCACTTGGCTTCCAGCCGTAAGTATGAGCACCCCACTCAGACAACACAGAGAGGGCCCAGGTCCCCACTGTTAGCTGCAGGATTCTGGCATCCTGCATTGCTTCTGCCTAGGGATGGTGACTCCACAATGATCCCGTGGTTCTCGCCAGCTGGCCTTTGGAGAATGAGCTCTCTGTAGTTGGCCTCGCTGGAGGCTCTCCACGAGCCCTGGCGAAGGGTGCACTGTGGCAGTCGGAACAGGAGCCAGGCCTCCTAGGGTATGTGCCCAAAGACTAGGACAGGAGACTGGCCATGCGTGAATGTTACGAGTGAGCAAGGACAGAGTGTCCTTTAGAGACCCCAGCCTGCAGCAGGAAGCAGCTCTGGTCCTGTGGCACATTCAGTGATCTTTAGAACACAGCGCTGTTCCGTGATAGCTGCTGCTGAAAGGTGAAAGGCAGGGCACAGACCTGGGTGTGGAAGAATCGGTTAGTGGTGGTGGTCACACGCTCCCGACTCCTCTCAAGGTCTTCGTCGCCTTTAGGGATCGATGAAGTCTGTTTGCTTAGACACGTAACTTTCACGGGGGCTGGTAAAGGCAAGAAGTGAGTCCTGTCAGGGTTCCCAATTCTGAACAGGTTGTCGCTACCGCAGCATTCCTGGGTGGGATGGACAGCTGGAAGGACCCTCCCAGCTGTGTCCTCAGCACGTGGAAAAAGGCTGGTCTTGTGGTTAAGGCATTAGGTGGGGGCAAGAGATTTGGGTTCATTTCCCAGTTCCGCCACAGACGCCTTTTCTTGGGCAAGTCACGTAGGGTCCCAAGCTTAGGTGGGGGCTCTTCACCATTCCCAGTCAGAGATGCTGGGTCCTGAGCATTTTGGAAGATCTGGCCAATGATTTTGGTGCCTAAGTAGGAGCTGAGCTCCTGACAATCTACACCTTAGTATCTCTGAGTCTCAGTCCCCTGTCGGTAAAATGGGAACAATAATCCTTCCTTTCTCCCGCCTCTCTGAGCTCTTCAGGACAGAAATCTCCTGCTATGTGTATGTGCAGCACCCAGCACAATGGGACACATTGCCATGGTTAGGGCCTCTTGTTGCTATGTAATACAAACACTACTGGGTAGGATACAGGGTTGAGTAGCTGTGGCTCCCAGTTCTGTCTGAGCTGAGGCAAAATGCTGGCAGCTGAGCTTTCTGGACACAGGATCTGCTGCCTCTGGGACAAACCAAGGGTGGGAATAACATAGGGGTAGGAACAGGACAGATATCCATGTGGAGGCCATATCTTCACTGACTATGGGCCAAATGCAGAACTGGTGTAAGCAGGTCCCCCCCGCTGAAGTCAACTGATGTACACCTACTTACATCAGGCATTTATCTGGCCCAGCACGATCTCTGAGACTTAGCGATGGGGGGAGAAATTTCTCTGAGCACGATCGAATTTGGGATAAAACTGGCCCCAGATTTGATCCCCCAAGCACTGGCTTAGGTTTTGCAAAAACAAAGTCATCCAAGTTTTACACTAGTCCAGTAGGGGCAATAACAGTGAGATCTTGCAGCGTGCTAGTAACAGGGAGACCAAATTTCCCCAGCCCATGTACCAGAGGAAGAGTCAAGCCAAGGAAATTAACAGGTGTGGTTCTCAAAGCACACATCTGTCTGCCCCTTGAAATGGGGTGGGAATATCTTCAGAAAGTAGAAAACAGTGCGAGCAGGGAGCATGGCACAGGAAAGGTCAGTTGTAAATGCTACGCTTACCCCTGGGGGAATATCTGTGGCAAAAAATTAAAAATTCTGCGCACAATATTTTAAAATTCTGCATATTTTGTTTGTCAAAATAACACAATATAATCATACCAGTTTCAATTATTTTGGTAAATTATTTCAAAATACCTGTCAGCAAGTAGTCTGTAACAATACAGACAACAAAAAATATTCAGGAAATGTTTTTTTGACAAATAGATTCCTTATTAGGCATATTAATACAGAACTCTGAGTAATCATTTAACTATAATAAAAAAACGCATTTTCTGCATCCCTCAGCAGCAGTGCGAAGGCTTGGTGGAGTCAGGGGTAATGGAGGAGCTGAGGGCGAGGGAAGTAATTGCTGGGAAGGAGCTTGGGTGTGAACTTGGAGGGTTTTGGGTGGGAATAAGTCTGGAACATGTTTTTTGGGGGGGCAGGTAGGGATTGTTAGGGAGCTTCCCCCATGCAGACCCTGGCTGACCCCTAGCCTCTCCCATTCATTAAAACATGAAAAATATGTGCAGCACATGAATGATGCGCGTGTAATGGCGCAGAATTCCCCCAGGAGTATACTCTCCGGCCAATAGGAAGGCACAACAGTACTATCTATGTGATCTCTCACTGTGTCAGGTCACCATCCCTCCATACCTAGCTCCCGCCGTGGGAACGACTCCAGTGTCACAGTAAAGAATCTGGTGCGCCCATCCCCTGGCTTGATGTTCGTCTTGTGTATTTGGAAGGCAGCACATTCTTTGTCATAGACTCTGCAGACATAAGATGTGAGTTGCTGAGATAAGGTAGTGATCTGTGAGTGACGTGCTCAAAGACAGCTTGCCTTTAGCGAGCACCACAGAGCCTGGGACAGCAACAACCCCTCAGATGTACTACTTGGCTACCTGTGGTTCCTTGTGTCCTGGAGAGCGTAGGCATGTTTCTCCTCGCTGGTACTGACACTGCTCCTGGGGTCTCCAAACACAATGGAAGACTTGCTCTACAGAGAAACCACTTTTGAGTGATGCTGTCTGCTACAGAGCAGACCTCACCAGCTAATTACAAGGGAAACAAGGACTTTGCTGACTGTCTCCACGAGCACTCAGGCTTCCCCAGCACACACTCCAGCCAGTGGTGCAGAAACCATGAGGATGAAGGGCACACATCACCCCTTCATTGCCTACTGGAATTCCCAGTTCCAAAGAGACTATTCCTTCATTCTGGCAGTTGTGACACCCAGTCAAGATTTGTGATATTCACTGCAACAGATACTGAGCTCAAGGGCTCGGAAGGGACCAAGCAAGGACTGGATATTTATATGGATAATGAGAACAGCCAGCGTTACAAATCGGATAAAATATATACACAAGCTACAGAATCTCCTGCTTCAGGCACAAGCCAACCACCAGCTGATGTTAGAAAGCAGCTTCCCATATGGACAGGTCATTACAGAGTAACCTGCACCTTCTTCTGAAGCAGGTGTTCAGAACAGGACCGCAGGACTGGCAATTCCTATGCTCCCCTCCCCATAGCTAACCACTAGGCTCCACGTCCACAGGCTGCCTGAGTGGGAAGCAGTGTTTTAGAAGGCTTAGTCCCATCATAATATGAATTGGAAGCAGCATGGCTGAATTTATAGGACTGTGACGTTACCTTTCCACAGGACTTCACAGGAGGGATCCAGCCACCCTCAAACTGTGCTTGATAAGAAGTGCCATAGTAGGAGCATCTGTCACCTTTAATTGTGGGAATTCCTCCTGCCAAACAACACAGGGAGGGAATGATCTGAGTTACTCCTTTGCAGTTCTCAATTACAGTTCTTAGGAAGTGTAAGAAACTGACATGGGATCTAGGGTTCCAAGACAGCTGCTCTCTGCCCAGTCTCACACTGACCTGGAGTATCTACCCACTAAAACTAGAGGAAAACGCTATTCTGCCTTGGCTACTTCATCCCTGACAACCCTTCAGCCTGGGGCGCTGTCTGCCTAGAACAAAGGGATTTTGTGCTGCCCATTCCCCAGTCACTGCGTTTAGGAGACCATGGTGGCTCTCAGGTTGGGCAAGTATCCAGAGCTAAGAAATCAGAGTCTGATAGCAAGGGCACAAAGTGGCCTTTTCCACAGATCAAAGATCACTCTCTCCTGGACCAAAAACAAACAGACCACCACCGAAGGAGCAAATTCCACTGGACCTACTCTGGAACTGAGGCCACAGTTCAGCAAAGCCCTTCAGCACAGGCTTTGCGAGTGGGAATTGACTTCTTTAACAATATTGCATCTTGGCTCTCCTGTAATTGCCTAGAGTGGTGAGGTCACTGGCTGGCACGGCAAGTAAACACATTCACTGGCCTTTCAACTCTGGAGGTCTGGGTCCAAATTCTGCACTAGGTCACTAATGTATCTGTGTCAGGTAGACCTGAGCTGTGCACAACACAAAACCACCACACAGTTTTGCACAACTGGCAGCCTGTGCTAAAGAGAAGCACAGACTGTAACAGAAACCAGGGATATTGGGAATGCTGCAAGGCACGACTGCGTGCACCAGCCAAGCTATGGGGTGGGGGCCAAGACTAGAATATCAGAGGGTGCTACAGGTAAAGAGGAAGGTGCACTGGCAGAGCTGCATAGTGAAAGCCTGTATCATCACATGCACCGCCAGCCACTGCTATAAGCCTCTCACTATCATGATCACCAAATTCACACATGAAATTATAAAAGGGAGACCAGTGATATTTAAATAGTTCTAGATCCTAGAACTCAGCACTTTGATGATAAAGGACTCCACTCACTACAGTAAATACAGACTTAAACTGGTTGTAATGGAAACCTAAACCAAGCCAATGAAAACCCCAGTGCCCGTGCATGCCACCTGCCCTGAGACTTACGAGGCCACAGCCTGACAGAGAGAGGACAACTCACCCAGATGCACACATGGCGCTTTGGCAATGGGCTCAAATATCTCATACGCTGGGTATGAAAAACGATAGACAGAAGGCAGCAGCTTCAGTTTGTCTTTGTCTCCACAAGGAAAATGATCTTCCTCCTTATTGTAATCAGCTCTGGTGGAGGCTGGTCCCTGCAGAGTCACGTCTGGCCAAGGGTAGCTCTCCCTTGCAGTCGAGGTGAAAATTTTGGTCTGGGAATCTGCATGCATTTGGAGGTGAGATTCTGGGGGACAGACTTTGGGCTTTGGTTCCAGGGATCTCACTGGAAATGCCAGGTGGGTTTCTGACCAGGTTTCCCTGGCTTTATCCATATCCTGATTCAAAACACCCTTGGAGTTTGGAAGCAGAATTGGGTCTGGTTTGTAACTGCCCCATAAGGGAGGGAAATCAGTGCGGAAAGGAGATTCAACAACGTTTCCCTGTGGTCTATGGTCAAACCCTATCTGAAAATGTGAGGCCTTTAGGAAGGGAATCCCTGTGAGCGGGGCTGGGATTAACGACGGGCCAGTGGCTGCCATTTTCCCCTGTAAAGGAAGAGACATGATATCAGACTCAGGTGCTTCGCTGCCTTGTTCCCTTCCTAAAGAACAAAGAGTAAGAGCCTCCAAGAGATAAGAAGGAACAGGAGATAAGGATCTTTATTCTCTGACTGTTCCTTACAAGATGTCCAAGTAAGGCCCTTGGTAGGAGGAGCCTGCATCATCCCAGAAGCAGCCACTTTTGAACAGCAAACATTTGCACTCTCTACAATGAAATGAGCTCCCAGCAATCCCAGAACTGCGGGTACATCCTCCCGTGGAGCTGTCCTGCTCTCCCCCAGTGCCATGATAAGAGCAGCCCAGAAGCAACTGGGGCTTTGTCCTGCCTCAGATACAAATTCATCTCTGCTGTCAATCCATGGACATTGCAGGGTTACTACCGGGAAGAATCTGGGCCACAGAATCTCAGGGATTCATGGGAGTTTAGCACGCAGGAAGTTGGCCTTTTGGACTACTTGCTAATCACCCCGTGCCAGGTTCTGGGATATTTCTAACAGGATTATTGGAACCAAAAGGGCAATATTTTAAAACATGGCCAAATGGGGCCAGATGATAGAGGGACGTTAGCCAAGCTCCTCCGTCCAGGATTGGATGTGCCATGTGTACAGTCAGTGCCTATTACCACAGCTGAGACTCAAACTCAGTCTACCCGGGTAGTTCAGAAAGCAGTTTTATAGAATGAACCAAAGGCAGCCTCCCCCAAAAGCAAACCAATAGGACCCATGCTGAACTAAGCTGGGCTGGGAGTCACCTCCCCTCTGGCTGAGTAAAAACCACGCTGTCCTAGTCTCAGCTGAGACTCACTTCCCATGGCCAAGCTGGTCAAAGGAGTGGTGCTAACCTGGTCTCGGCTGGGAGAGGCGCTTCCCATCTCTCACAGGAGAGCCTGAATGGGTTCTCTTATACAAATGGCCATGCATGTGACTCATGAGTTTGGATAGAGCCACATGCCAGTTGGCATCTGTGGACACTAGCCCAGAGCACTCGGCAGTGGGCTGGCTTTGCACCTCTATGGTCCAAATTAATGCAAAGCATGTAAGCGTGTTTAATAAACAGCTGCATGCGTACCAGAGTTGGTCTTTCCTATAAACGAGATTAAATTATCTTTCCAAGGTGACTGACTTTGATCAGTGTATTATTATTATTCCTTGCATCCCAATCAGCAATCATTGTGCTGGTACATGCTTACAAGGAAATAACAGGCCCTATCCCCAAGAGTTTACAACCTAAATAGCCATAAATTGGCCATACGCATCAAACACAAGACTCCAGACAAGAAAAGGAATTATTTAGACTTTGAAAAGAAAAACTGAAGACAACCTAAACCCAGTGAGTAACTGCCTATGGGGCAAATCCTAAAAAGGGAGCTGGCTCTGCAGGAGTTCACACACTAACTAGCATCTGACAACAGAACTGTGGCCTCACACAATAATGCTAATCAATGTGTCTCTTCCTTTGAACCCTCAAACGGTACTCCTCATCCATTCACTGCGCCTGAGACAAGCTGACTGTAACTCATCTCCACCCAAAGCTAAACAATCAACTGCAGAATTTTCATGTCCTGTGATGTTATCATAAAAGCATCATGTCATAATGGAATCTCAGCAGCGGAGAGGTGAAGAAGATGATATCTGGAGTAACAAAGATGGAGAAAGTGAGAACAAGAAACAGAGAAATGACTGGAGAGGAAGAGGGCTAAAGAGAAGGAGAACATGCGTACGAGAGGGTAAGTTACAGGGGCCAGTGCCACAAGATTTCAGAGAAGCAGCAATGCTACGTCTGCTTATGAACTGGTAGCCTTAGCCTAGCATAGGCAAGATCAGTACCATCCCCGTCAAACCCTGGTCTCCTGCCCCACAACTGCTCATGGGTGGTGGTGACATTGTGGGACTGTGACATCAAAGGTAAATCAGCCAGTTAACAACCCTCTATCCCAGCCCAGGGAGCAGAGCTACCATACCCTCATTCGCAAACCTGAGGCCTGATTCAGCAAAACTGCTGAGCAGGAGGTAGACACAGAACAGATACGGAATGGAACGTGCAATTTGTGAATTAGTATGGTAGCTCTGCTCCCTGGGGAACCAGTAATGCAGGAGAAGGGGCTATGAGGTCAGCTTCGGAGTCGAAGCACCACACATCACATTTACAAAACCTAGCTGTTTCTCACACACTCTCAAGAAGTTGCTAGTTCCTATCACAGTCCCAGTGTTCTTCACCCAGGGTTTGGGAACTATCAGATGATGCAACAGACTGGGAAAGGGATATGGAGACTTTCAGGCCCAGGTCAAAGGGGATTCTAAATCCTCAGCCCCCAGCTCCGCTGCCCATGAAAGGGCACTCCCAGTCAGTCTCAACAGTAACACCCCCAGGAAGCAGCAAAGAGTCCTGTGGCACCTTATAGACTAACAGACGTTTTGGAGCATGAGCTTTCGTGGGTGAATACCCACTTCTTCGGATGCACCCACGAAAGCTCATGCTCCAAAACGTCTGTAAGTCTATAAGGTGCCACAGGACTCTTTGCTGCTTTTACAGATCCAGACTAACACGGCTACCCCTCTGATACTTGACCCCCAGGAAGGGCATTCCTGGTAGGGTTACCATATTTAAAAAATAAAAAAAAACAGGACACTCCACAGGGCCTTGGCCCCGCCCCTTTCCCACCCAGCCCTTCCCCAAAGTCCCCGCTTTAACTCCGCCTCCTCCCCTGAGCGCCCCGCATTCCTCCTCCCAGCCACGCGAAAAGGGCTGCCCGAGCGCTACCGGCTTCATGGTTTGCCGGGCAGCCCCCAGACCCTGTGTCCCCAACCGGCGCTTCCCCAGCGCAGCTGGAGCCCGGGAGAGGAAGCGCCCAGCCGGGGGCGCAGGGTCTGGAGGCTGCCCGGCAAACCGTGAAGCCGGTAGCGCTCAGGCTTCGGGCAGCCCCCTTGCCTCCGGACCCTGCGCCCCCAGCCGGGCACTTGTCCTCCCGTGGCTGCTGTGCTCCTCCCCTGACTCCGCTACTGGCTTCGGGCAGCCCCATGGCTCTGGAC